ATTTTAATTTTTTTTTTTTTTTTTTTTTTTTTTTTTGCACCACAATGGATTATTTCCCCGTGCTTTTCTCTCTGCTGTTTGTGGCTTTCCAAGGAGCTCCAGAAGCAGGTAGGCACGGCGACTTGTAAATCTCTGAATGTTAATGTCTTCTTGTCCACCTTCGTGTTTTTCCTGCTTCTGTTTTCCCGTTCTTTTTATTACCGCAGGTCAGATATCAAGTGCCTGGGAACAACTGCCTAAAGTTACTTCAGTTTTTTTTCGTGGGGGGGAAGAAATTCCTCTGCTGAAAACAATTGCTCCTATGGCGTTAAAGTAACATACTATTCTTGTGTAGTATCCTTCCTTGGCTTTTAAAAATACAATTCAAGAAAAGTAGAGACAAGATACAATTTCGCCAAAGGTATATTCGCGGTGTAGGTGTTCGTACAGGTAACAGCACATATAGGAACTTCTGTATTTTATCTCAAGACTGTTTAAATAGCGAGTGAAGGTGTGAAATATTTAAACATTTCAGCTCAGAGCCAAGGAATTTTATTCCAGTCATTCGAGCAATATGTGAGCAGTAAAATCACCTGCCGGACGGTCTGCTGAACAACCCCCCGGGGCAGTTTCAGGGTGAAGCAGATGTTTTCTTTAAAATTTGTCATTATTGACTTTAGGCCTCTTTTGGCAGGTTTTTGGCACCCAAAACAGCGTGAGGTCTATTTTCAGTTGTATTCACCTGTCGTGGGAGGGGAGCTCGGATGAAGGCTGGCTGCTTAAGGGTTTAGACAGTCTGTGTGCATCTGCCTATTTCCCCCTCCTGAGGGTCAATGCCCTTTTTTGTGTGTGTCTTTTCATGACCCTGACTAAAGAGAAAAGATGTCAAGGGAATGAAAATCCTGGAATGTGTCTGATCATTTGAAATGTACAAAATTGGGCAGATAAGCCACATGGCTAACTTGTCAGTGAGAAGAGGCGATTCTTCGGTGGGGAAGGGGGAGGTGGTGAATCCGACACGTGCCATCCTTCTCCCGGGGTTCCCAATTCGAAGCCCACAGAACCTTGATTAGGTCCCCAAGCTGCTGCTCAGTCTCACCCGAGATCAGGGGTTTCCTCAGAGTTTACCACCTGCGATGAATATCGTACAGCTGGTTTCTCTTCTTTCTCTCCACTCACCCCCCCGAAAGCTCTTGACCTCCACCTAATTTTGAGGGCTGCGTATCACCTGGGCTAGTCCCTGCCCTCCACCAGGCGTGAAGTGGTCGGTACTCCCCTCACCCGCATGGGGACGTGGCTCCCAACCGAGGAAGAGGCAGCCGATTTATTCAACTTTAGCTCTTTGGTCATCGGCCAACTTGAAGGCACCGTCCTCCTGAATCCCATGCGGAAGCCACCCAGATTTGCCACCGGCAGCATGTCTGGGCGTTCCTCTGGGGGCTGCTTCATGGGGGCCGGGCCCCTTTTCTGGTGGCTGTTTCCCCTGCACACGTGTCATCTCCCTGAAAGTGGGTAAGCCAGTGGGGGCAAAGATGAAGTCACATAAAGAGCCCTTTCTGCGCTGTTTCGTGCCGAAGGCCGGCTGAAGGTGGGCTTTGATCTGCCCGGCTAGATCCCCGGGGAAGTGCCCGGCTGACCGGCTTTTTTCTCTCCCCAGCGGTCTTGGGCGCGGAGCTCAGCACTGGCCTAGACAGCGGAGGGGAGAAGCCGGCTCCCAGTGCGCCCTGGCGGCCCCGACGGTCCAAGCGCTGCTCCTGCTCTTCCCTGTTGGATAAGGAGTGTGTCTACTTCTGCCACCTGGACATCATCTGGGTCAACACTCCCGAGTGAGTCTCTAGAGGGCGTCGGAACGCTAGCTATCCCTCACCTCTGGCCGCTCCAGCCCGGAGCCCACTTCCTGCCAGTTGCTTTGCGGGGAGCCCCTGGTCTGGATTCTGAAGGATGTGAAGGTGCCTCGGTGGGTGGGGACAGTGCCCCTCTGTTCCTGAGAATTCCCAGGCAGGTTGGTTCTTTGCAACAGCCAGGGAAGGGGCGGGGGGGGGGGGGTCTTCTGAGACCCTGTGGCTCAAACACTCATGACAGGAGAGACGGAAAATGGTGGTGACAAGCAGGTCATTGCCACGCATTTCGGAGGGGGATGTTCTTCTGGTGGGGTCTGACCGCGCTTCGGGAATAAGCTACTGAGGGCATGTGGGTTAGTCTAACCTGTGCTACTCTTGAGGCAGAAAGGCTGGTACAGAGTGATCATCAATCCTTTCCTTTTACCTAGGGAAAAGCAAAAATCCAAGGAGTGAGTCTGTGGCAGGGCTCGACCCAGAAGGTGGATGTCCTGACCCCTCTGTGCTTTCCCTTTAGAAAAGCCTATTTCAAGACAGCAATAGAAACAGGGCCCATAGATTTCTCTTCTGCCTCCAGCTCGAAGAAAACAGTCTCCCATCCCTTCACCCTGGAAACTAGCTCACCCGTCAGAAGCAGCCGTAAACAAAAACACGCCGGGTCCCATTTTGGCGAGGCATGACCAGAGTCCAAACAAAATCAAATCAAACAAAACCCACAGTGACCCTAATACTTAAAAGGTGATCCTTCCAAGGGGATGACTTTATCCCTTTTAGGTGAGACTCAAAAGGCACACTTTGGAAATTACTAGAGAGCCTTCTGGCAAACGAGTCCTTCTACTAGTCACCTGGTGTCACCAATTCCAGGAGATGTGCAAACCTGGGTGCAGTAGTGTATCCTCCCCGGCCCCCGGCAGGGGGCACTTTTAGCATTATCACGTGACTTGAACTGGAAAGAGATTTTCATAATCTTGTGAGTCATGATTTTGCATTGAATTCCGCCCCCCCCCAGAGCTGTTAACTAGATGGAAAGTTAGAAAAGTAAAAAGAAAAAAAAAAAAAAGAAATAGATACCAAAGCAAAACAAACAAATAAAACAAAAACAAACAAACAAAAAAAACGAAACACCCCAAAGCTACTTGTGTTGAGCTAGAAGAGAACGTTGTTAGAAATTAAAATGGAATTTTGTCGAGTTGGATGGTTTTCTCCTGGAGGGGTACACACGCTCAAGGCCATTGATGGGTGTGGGACCCTGACTACCTTCGCACTTGACCTTCCTAAGTTGGGCTACCGGGAGCTGTGTGGTGAGAGCCTTGTGCCCCGCTGCAATGAGTTTGCGCCACAGAATGTGTCGTTTTGAAGACTGTTAATCATGCTAATATCTTGTATCCCTCTTTTTTGATAACAGGCACATCGTCCCGTATGGACTTGGAAGCCCTTCCAGGTCTAAGCGATCCTTAAAGGACTTATTTGCCACGAAGGCGACAGACCACAGGAACAGATGTCAGTGTGCCAGCCAAAAAGACAAGAAGTGCTGGACTTTTTGCCAAGTGGGAAAAGAGCGCAGGTGAGGTAGAAACACCTTTGCTTTCGATCAGTTTTATGGCCTCCCGATCGTCCTGTGCTGATGTTGCTGCCTTTTTGCTTAAGAGAAATTAACAGAGACTTTGTGAGGAAGGAGAGTCCCATTGCTGAAGTACATTTCCCCATCTGTCTTGTAACAGGGGTCAAGACAGTATGGAGAAGGGCTGGCATGACCAGAAGAAGGGAAAAGACTGTTCTGAGCTTGGAGAAAAGTGTACTCATCACCAGCTGGTGGCGGGAAGAAAAATAAGAAGGTAAGAGACTCGCAAATAGGAGAAAGGCTTGGAAGAAGAGAACACAGATTTTCGTGGTCTGTGGATTAAAAAGAGCAGAGGAATCCCTCCCAGATGTTTTTTTGAAGACCTTGAATGCAGACCTTTGCCCCCTACACACTTTGGTGATCTTAAGCACATGCCGCCCAGTCTGAAGGTAGATTGTCCAAACAGAATACATCTACAGACACCTTTGTCATTTGGTCATAGCTAGTCCTTGCTTTTCTGCATCAGCGTATTTACCGCTTTGCTTGAGAAATTAACAGTCCTTTCAGGGAGAGCGTTTTTGTTTTGGGTTTTTTTTTTTTTTTTTGGTTGCTTATTTTATTTTATTTTATTTTTAAATCAAAGTGTCCCACATAATTAAGGTTTCCAAAAGTTGTAGCAGTTATTCCAATGGCCCAAGGGAGAATAAAGTCATTAGGTAGGGTTGGTGAGAATTAGAACGAGCTGTGTTGGGGGGTTATTATTTTTTTTTTTTAAACAGGGAAGTGCATTCGGTGGAGAGCCAATGTCTTCTGAAAAGCTCTCCCATTTTCTAGTAGGTCGTGAGCTGGGGCAGAGAAAGAACGTAGATCAGGCAACACCGTAGGGTTGTGATGGCTCTCGACCTCTTGAGTGATGACCCTTCCATATCCCAGACATGTCAGCATTCACAAGCTGGGGGGGAGAAACCTGCATTCAGATCTGTCACGTGTTCAACATTTCCCCATCGTGGTCCGCGGGCACTTTTCCTAGAAATCCAGTGGCAGGAGGTTCTATGCTCAAAGTGTTCTGAGCACAGTCCTGACAGCCATGAACTACTTCTGAGGGGTTTACTGCTGGTGTGTGGGACATCCTTAGCTGTCTGTGACTTCTCACTTTGCCATTGCACTTTCCATATTTATAATCTCAGGCCACTGATGCTCCTCCCCCAGATCACAGGGTTAGGTAAACAGACTTGGAAATTATTATTGTTTTTCTATTAGTTTCTATTATAGCAACTCATGTCAATGCAATATATATATATATACACACATATATATATATACACACACATATATATACACATATATATACACATATATATACACATATACGTATATATATGTGTGTGTATATATATGTGGTTTTTATTTGCGGTACCATATTTGCTTGGAGCAAAGCTATATTCCTCCTCTCTTTTTATTTATTTTTTTTTAAATTTTTTTTCAACGTTTATTTATTTTTTGGGGGACAGAGAGAGACAGAGCATGAACGGGGGAGGGGCAGAGAGAGAGGGAGACACAGAATCGGAAACAGGCTCCAGGCTCTGAGCCATCAGCCCAGAGCCCGACGCGGGGCTCGAACTCACGGACCGCGAGATCGTGACCTGGCTGAAGTCGGACGCTTAACCGACTGCGCCACCCAGGCGCCCCTCCTCCTCTCTTTTTAAAGTTTCTCTCCCATCAAGTTACCTCTAATTTCTTTACGTGACAAAGCAGATATCCATGATTATTTGAAGCCTACGTTGAGTCAGTTTCTCTGTAGAGTCCCGTGGTGGTCGTGGTTGGGATGGAGCACAGGAGACAAGACAATATCTCTAGCTTACCTTGAACTTGTACTTTAAATTTGTATTTAATGCCCGGTTCCCTTTAGATATGACCGCTGCTGCTCCCTTCCTCTCCCCCCTATTCCAAGCATAAGGGGCAGGCTTTATTTTCACTTGAGGTTAACAAAGGGAAGCATGCTGTTGCGGTCGGCGGCGAAAGTTCAGGCACTGGACTTAGAGTCTAATTTTAGATGCCTCTTTTGCCCAGCAACGATTTTTAAGAAAATAACATTTGTTTTCTCTTGTCTTGTTTAATAGGTTGGACGCCATCAGGAACAGCATCAAAACAGCTTTCCGTGTTGCAAAGCTGAAAGCGGAGATGTACAGAGAGAAGAAAGTGACCCACAACCGAACGCACTGATTGATGGCAGGTGGCCGGGGCCTGTCACATGCCATCTCCTCCCCGGAGGGAACCCTGTGGCTGATTCTGCACTCTCTCCACATGGCTGCGATCAGAGCAAAAGCATCCTCCCTGCTTAGACCGTTTCTTGCTCCAGACTGGCAGCGGGCCAGTGTCCTCACTGTAAACATTCCAGGGAAGGTTAAGGAGTCCCTCCCCCAATCTGTCTTCATTTGCTTCCATCAGTGGTGACTGCCTCCGTCTTTTCTCATCTGGGGTGATAGTTGGACCACGCAGAAAGCAGAGAGATACAGTGACTTGTGGATTAGGGTGGCATCCTCCAGAGGGAGGACAGGAGATTCCACACGCGGTGGAATTTCTGAAGAGGGTCCGAAGGGAGTGTTTGTGTCTCACTCAGGCGCCTGGCACGTTTCAGGGAGAAGCTCCAAAGTCCATGCAAAGATTTTCTAAGGAATGCACAAATTGAAAACACACTCGAAGGACACTCAAGTAAAAAAAAAAAAAAAAAAAAAAAAAAAAAGCAAAAGACTTTTATTCTTATTTTTTTCATTCACAAAAATGCAAACTGAAAGACACTGTTACTACTGTAAAATCAGGATGGGTTTGATGAATATGAGTCTACCTCACCTATATTGCACTCTGGCAAGAAGTATTTCCCCACCTTTAATTATTGCCTCCCTTCGCTCTTCCCCCTCTTGCCCTCCCCTCCCCCCAAAGCCCCCGTTGTAAATCTTGGCCTCATAGATGTCTAGTCTAACATGTCAGTAGTAGATGTAACGTTTCATGGTAATCTACTAGCTCTGATCCACAAGAAAAAAGGTCATTGAATCAGGAGGTTCCCTTGCCTTGATCTTTGGAAACACAATGGTATAGAATTGTTTATGGAAGACATTGAAAAGTAAACATTTGGTTATGCTTTAAAGCAGTGAAATTATTTTCCTGTATGTAAGTGGCTAATGGAAGAGGTTGGAATAAATTTTGACGTACTTATTTTTTTATAGATATTTATATTCTAACAGTTTATTCCTTATATTTACCATGTTAAATATATGTCTGGGCAGGCCATATTGGTCTATGTATTTTTTTAAGTGTATTTCTGAATGAAATTGAGAAAAATGCTTTGTTTTGCCTGTCAAGGTAATGACTTTAGAAAATAAATATTTTTTTCCCTACTGTACTGATTTTGAGTCATTTCTGAAATTCCCAAGAAGTGGGCCATGATGCTAAGAATTATGAAAGGAAGTGATTGAAAATGGTTTCTTAGGGGCGCCCGGGTGGCTCAGTCGGTTAAGCGGCCAACTTCGGCTCAGGTCATGATCTCGCGGTCTGTGAGTTCGAGCCCCGCGTCGGGCTCTGTGCTGACAGTTCAGAGCCTGGAGCCTGTTTCAGATTCTGTGTCTCCCTCTCTCTGACCCTCCCCCGTTCATGCTCTGTCTCTCTCTGTCTCAAAAATAAATAAACGTTAAAAAAATTAAAAAAAAGAAAATGATTTCTTAGGTGACGATAAGAAAGAAAATAGTCTTGGCTGATTATGAAAGAACTCCATCTGGATCTTCAAAGTTGCCTTCAGATGACATTAAGGTAAAAACAAAACAAAAACCCAGCTTCGATACCTCTGTCTTTCCCTGGATCGCAGCTTTCTGCTTCCCCTCCCCCTGAAAACTCTCCAGGGGCTTACTTCATCCATTAACTTTACTTAGGCGATTAGACAGGATCCAACAGCTCAAGCGGATGGTGTGGTGAGAGGTGCTCTCTCCATATTAACGGGCTGAAGGAAGCAATGGCAAGGCGACTCCCAAAAAATGTCACCGAATTATATTCGGTTCCACACCATTCCAGAGATGAAATTCCATTCCGCATTCCAGAGAAATGCTTGGAGAAAGCAGCCTGCCGAGGGCAAGTTATGGGTCCCCTGTAGCATTGTGAATGTTATTTATTTATTTATTCATTTATCGCTCAGATTAAGAGCTTGGTTATTAAGGAACACTAAGTGCCTTTGCTTGTCCTCAGTAGCCCAGGACTGGACACAAGCCGGTGGAGGAAGAGACACCAAGTGCTGGTTCTGGAACACGGGCACTATTGCACACCCTCCTGGCCTCGCCAAACCATCCAGGAGACTGATATTGCCAATGGCCATTACCAACAGAAGCCCATAAGGGTTTGATGAGCTTTCGAGACTCTTTACCATCCTTTCCCAATAGCAAGGAATGCCTGGCATTCAACAAATATTAGCTCATGATGATCACTGTTGTCTAAACAAGGACACATTTGAAGGATGTTAAATAACAGCCTTCAGGTGTGCATCGACAATGTCCTAGGCAGAGTTTCTATCTTTATTGACATTGTTTCTCATCTTCCATTCTCTCTCCCTTCTTTTAAGAGAGAGTCCAATATCTCAAAATGCGGTTTCTGGAAGTCCATTTAGAACAGATTTCTGTCTATGCACCAAAGGCCAGGCAGAGCTTTGATCTCAGGACTCCAAGGACCAGATATCGCTTTATCTAGCAAACTGTTTCTCAGTGTGTAATTCTCAAGGGAATTGTGGACTTTTGTCCACAGTGACAAGGGGCTTGGCTTGAACTTGGTCACTATTTAATCCTGCGCAACCATTTGGTCCCTCCGCATCGTGGGTTTCCTTCCCTGTTAAATGAGCAAGAGGAGAATCTGTCTAAAGGCTCCAAGAAAGAGCCTGCGATGTCATGAAGAAGTTGAGTGGACACGAGACAGTGAAGGTCTGAGCTCGGAGGATGTGGGTCCATTACCTTTAAGAGGGAGTTGAAATGAGAAGAAGCCATGGAGTAATAGAACAACACAGCAAGCAAAGGTGATAAGGGTCTCTTTTCTTTTCTTTTCTTTTCTTTTCTTTTCTTTTCTTTCCTGTTCTTTCCTTTTTTTGTTTTCTTTCTTTTCTTTCTATTTCTTTCTTTCTTGCCTCCTTTTCTTTCTTTCCTTCTTTTCTTTCTTTCTTTCTTTCTTTCTTTCTTTCTTTCTTTCTCTCTTCATCTCTCTCTCTCTCTCTTTTTCTCTTTCCTTCCTTCTTTCTTTTACTATTTGGGTCTTGACACCCTCTTCCTCCATGCTTCCTGCTCCAGTAGCCTGCAGCAGCTCTCCAGGGCATGAGGGTCAGTAGTGAAATAAGCTGGAAGATTTAGAGGGAATGAATCTTTTTCAAGTATGTAGAGGAAAGATTTGATACTATGAAAGGCTCCTGCTGTCTTGAGGAGTGCAGTGGTGGAATGGTCTGTCACATGTCCTGACACGGCTGTGTTTGGAAGTCCATTCAGGACAGATTTCTCTCATTGCACTAAAGGTCGGGCAGAGCTTTGATCTCAGGACTCCGAGGACCAGAGGATCCTGGGTGGGGAGTAGCCATCCTTTGCTGGAGGGAGAGGAGACCACTAATGGGTGCTGAATTCTTCTCCCCAGGAAATCACTTCATTTGTGATGGAAACCATTGGCTTTTATCCTGCCTATACTTCCTGAAACGCTCAGGGTATTATACTAAGTGGAGTTCTCACAACACAGCGTATTATCACTAAGCTAGAGTCCTCTCAGGAAGACTTTGTATTTCCAGGGGAAAAAGCCAAGGTCCCGAGAGGGAAGTGACTTACCTAAGATCACGCAGCTGTGGCATCTCTGGACCCTGAACCCTTGAGCACAGATGCTTTACCTGGAGACACCTGGAGGTCACAGGAGACTGATGCCCGAGTAAACCTTAGCAGAGGGTTCTGGGTAGTGAAGGCAAAGCTTTGCCTTCCAGCCTCACAGGCGATATTTGGCAGATCCACCCTTGCAGTATATAAGGGAAGAAATGTAAGGGAAGAGAAAAGGAATATAAGGAGGCGTACAAGTCTCAAGGCTTCGTGAAGTGAATTGCTATAGGACGAAATAGAATATAACTGGGAAGGTGTATTTGTTATTGCTTTTATAGGATTTAGTTTCTAAATAATCTTTAGATAATACGAGTGAAGGGGCATTCCTTTGTTCAGTCCTCTGATGGAACTCTATGATAATACTCAAGTACAGTAGTACTCGAGATACTGTGTTTTATTTCTTTGTCTACAGTCCTGAAAATGTTCCTTTTCAAGCCCAAGATCTCAATATGTAAAATGCAGTTTTTAAGCCCATATTTTCAATGGAGTTTTTTTTTTCCACCTCAGCTTTCTCTCCTTTTTGTGTTCCTCACCGTTTTGGGGATCCTGGCTTTGGGGCCCAAAACAGATATATCTAGCGCAAGTGACCATTACTATTCTCAGAACCTTATGATTTAACAATGACCTCTCGTCTTGTAGAGAACCAGACTGCCCATAACATTTTCCCTTTTGTCATCGACCCCCTCTCCCGCAACGATCTTTTCAGGATTTGGAGGCCATATTTTTATACCCTTTTGACAGCTGAGGAAACAGACATATTGAATGAGTAAGTGACTTGTCCAGACTCTTCCGTCAGGCGAACAACAAGACCCTTGGACTCTTTCTCCTAAAACTGCCCCGGAGCAGAGGGGATACCACTGGCCCAGAGTTTTGGACAAACGTAGAGTATTCCCATCTTGCCAGTGAACTGTGAGAAGAATTAGCTTCTTATTAGTCTCTCGGGAATATCAGTGCTCCACATGCACCCCTGCGCCCTCGTCCTGAGCATTTCCATTGTACAATATGTGTTTACCACATCGTCTTTGGTATGTCTATGGACAGACGGCAGAGAAATCGTGACAATTTACGATGCCTGTTTCCAAACCTGGTGTCATGGCACGCTTCACCACCGGCCATGGGTCCAATGCAAGGGAAGACATTGTAGTGATAAATGGGATGGCAGAGGTCCTACCGCTTCCCCAGAATAATCAGAGAAAGAGCTAGGGCTGGTGCTATTAGATAACGAAAGCAGAAGGGCATGGGTCTTAGGGACACTGATGGAAATCATGGGTCCCAAGCATGATAGGCTGCTCCCAGCTCTGAAAGGCAGCACACTGGGGATTTGACACATAGACTTGCTGGTCAGCATTTTTTCATGTGTGTTTCTGCCTCTTATTTCCCCGCTTTCATATTCTGAGTCACTCCAAGTCTCCACCATAAACTGCTATGGAATATTGCTAGGGATGGGACTCGCAATGTTAAGCTGCTACTGCATTGGCATGGGCACTGGCTAGGTGGAACAGACAGGGCCAGAACTGTGGGGGTAGGTTCCTGGTGGCCCCCAGGTAGGCCAGGATGGTAGGCCTCCAGGTGCTGGACTGTGGGAAGGTCGAGTCGTCTGGGGAAAGGGGTGGGCAGCGAAGGTGGAGTTTCCAGGCTTCGCGTTATAGTTATTCACCAACAGGTTGGAAGAATCGCGATATTTTAAAAACGGAGATAGTTTCACTGGCGCATGCCTCTGTGCGCGTCAGGCTTGGAAGTCTCAAAACTCTTTCCACTTGGTAAAATATCCTCTCACCAGCTTCCCTAAGTGGGAGCCCATTGTTTCCAAGCCTGCTGAAGCTCAGTGTTGTGTCTTTGTACCTTTCCATCCATGCACTTCTGTTGTCCTGCCACACAGTCATGTTGTTCCCTCACTCTCCATGTCTCTCTCCCATGTGCTTTCATCTCCTTTGGTAGAAGTGGAACCACTCTAAGGTATTTTTTGTCTCTGTGGAAGTTTTTAGCAGGGCAGTCTTGTGCTTGCCAAATCTGAGGTTTGCCTTGGACCAGGGCATGCTGACGTCCTATATCTGCTCTAGGACTGTCAGGAAGAAGAAGTTGCTTGTAAGGTTGGTCTTGCCCTTTTGGATGAACTCTGGACCATGAAAGGGGTGCCTAGATAATTTATTATTAAAACTGGGACACACGGGGTGCCTGGGTGGCTCAGTCGGCTAAGCGTCCAACTCTTGATTTCAGCTCAGGTCACGATCTCACGGTTCGTGAGTTCGAGTCTTACTCTGGGCTTGGTGCTGACAGTGCAGAGCCTGCTTGGGATTCTCTCTCGCCCTCTCTTCCTTTTTGCCCCTCCCCTGCTCATGCTTGCTCTTTCTCAAAAGAAATAAAATAAACTTAAAAAAAAAAAAACACACGAAACAACTGGGACGCTTCTGATAGAGCTTGGTGACACTTTTAGCGATGACCAGAGCACCACAGACTATCATGGAAAAACCGGAACACAGGATTACTCGAGACCAGGATGAGCCTTGAAGCAGGTCAGAGTTTC